CTTGGAGGATCATGCGACATAGTAATTGGGGTTATAAACAAGGTAACTGTTACTTGTAATTGTAACCCCAATGAGGGTACTTCTATCCTGACTTCCTAAGTCCCATGATCCACCAAGTGTAAGGTTTCAGATTGACACTTTGAGCCGAGCGGCTGGGAGAGAAGCCGAAGGTCCCCTCTTTTCAGGAGGCCACACGCCCTCCGGGCCCAGTATGAAGGATGGACACCTCAGACTGCAGCAAAAGAGTTGAAAAGTCGCCGTCAGTCTGCACGAACTCACATGTACATTGCTGCAAGAACTCACCTGTACTTCGGATGCGCCCGCGACCGCAACACCAACAAGTCTGGACGAATCCAACTCGAGCCCCCCCTCCCCCCCCCCCACCTCCAAAAAGGATTAGAAAAACTATATACGGAAATGTTGCTTTCAAAGATTGGCTTAGGGGCCATCGATTGTTGCGATCACGGGCGAGGGCCACACAGCGCACGGAAGCTCTGGAGCACCTGGCACACGGCTTCCCATGCTCGGTCACGAAGCTTCTGCCCCTAACATGCCAGAAGCTCTGCAGGTGGCCACCACACATCGCGTAAAAGCTGGTAGAATCCTGACAGGCGGCAGGGCACCGTGCCGGAAGCCGGGTTCGACAAGCCTCCGCGCGCCTTCACCGTAATGATCCCGATGGACCGATGGAAACTCTCCCGGTCAGCGGCGGGAATCCACGAACTAGGCACAAAGTTTGCTCATGCAGCGAACAGACCATTTAAGTTAGGCATACACATGTCAAAGCCGAGGAGTGAGCCGTCAGCATCCTTTGCTTCGGAACCAAATCCTGAGCACCAAGCAAGTTGGAAACATGGGGCTGCCTCGCGGGGTATGTTGACATAGGAGTATGCTCGGCAGGCATGCAGTCACAACATGCGCGCTTCTTCTGCTACGCAACGGACCAAGCAGCGCACAGAAAAAACTGCAGCGGCTGCTGTCCAAGCTGCGCAGGTGCTGTGTGGTTGCACTCTTTTGCTGGCTTGTGTGGAGCTCTCTACGAGTTTGGGAGCTGCCGACAACTGAGAGCATCTAAAGTCTCGAAAAGCAAAGTTAAGCTCTCTACCACTGTTGACATTTGCTGCGGAATCTCTCTTGCAAGCTGCGGTGTGCCCCTCTCCAAACACAGGTCGCGGAACCCGCGTGGAGCTCTCCAGGTTCTCACCCTGTGAGTGAGGAATGCTTGTCGGGATATGCGTGCACCGAGAAGAGCAAAAGCCTGAAGACAGGTGGCTAGATGAACCTGATGCCAGCAAGAGGCCATCCGGCCATCGTGGAAGAAGCTTCGGCTTCGGGAAAGGCCTGCGCAATTTGCGATGAAGCCCGGGATTGACACTAGGGATCCAGAGGTCGACAGTTTTCGTAGCCACAAGAGTTTAGGGTTGAGGGTTTAGGGTTTCGTAGCCAGAAGAGTTTCTGAGTTGCAGGAGTTCATGAAATCTACGGACCCTGAGGCCAACCCTCAAGCTCCAACTGCTCCCACTGCTTTTGTCAAATGGAGGACCGCCCTGCCTTCTTCGGTCCGGTTCTGCCTTGGACTCCTTTCAAAGATAGCGCCTGGCACTTTTGGGAGACCCGACTTGCGCTGCAACTGCCTGCCGTACTCCATAGCTCCACAAAACAACAGGGCATGTGTCAGGTCTGGAGAGGTTCTCTTGCTCTCTTCCAAACACGAAGCCGCACCTCCACGAAAGAGCCGTGTGTTGAGACATCAGCTAGTAATTCAGAGCCGCCCTACAGCGGTCGCTCTACAATCCACCTATCTCGTAGAACGCGGGGTCTTATTACCCTTTGCCTTCTCCCTTTTTGCCTTTTCAAAAAGCTGAACTCGCATGCTCTCTGGATCAGATAGTCATAACAAGATGCCAATAGGACCGTAGCTAGAGCAAGGATGGCACAGCTCCTGCGTGAAGCCACGGGACCCAGCGGCAATCACAACATCTGCTGAACTACTGATGCACGCCACGTAAGAACTACATATTCCAACAACCTTCAGAGCCCAAGCAACACATGGACTTGTCTGAACGACATGTCCGGCGGGATCAGGTTCTCCAGACGAACACAGTCCGGGGCCGCTTTTGCGAGAAGCCGTACACCGCATCCGACTTGGCACCCGGTACAACTACAGGACCGACGAGGTCGGGGGTGTAAGATTTGGACTCCAAGTACAAGGAAGTCAATGAGGGCCACACACGCTCCAGAATACATTCCGAGTAATCTTGAGTTCGTCGTCGATGATCCTAACCTCTTTTGAGGGTGCCATGCACTACAGTTCAATGGAGAAGTGGGTGCACAGACTACAACACTAAATAACACTATGTAACACTACATCGCTCAGTAGCGCTGAGCGCTGAGGCCCCCATATGCTGGAAGTACGATGGCGAGCTCTGGCTAGTTTGAACTCTGTGGATATTTGTCTCGTGAGGGTGCTTAGAGGGAGGATGTCATTTTTTTGTCACCCACCTAGCACGGCTATTATTGAAGGTATGTTTAGGGCCCCTTTCATCTGGACTTTCAATCACAAGAGGTTGGATTTCCGGTATGATTCAGAAACATAGGTTTTAGTCACCGCTCTCTGCACAATAGATGGACGTCTGCTCTTTTCCTCTGTCGCAGGTGGCTTGGTGCCATCTAGAGCTCATGAATCTTTGCGTGAGCTCCACGATCCTCCATCGGGGATGAACCTTTCGGATGTCGTCGGGGAGTTTGCAGCAAATCGACAACTCCAATAAGGACCAACATACTTGGTAAGATCCTTCTTAAAGCTGCCGCGCAGTTTCTGAAAGCTCCATCTGGAAAACTGCAGTGAATCCAGCATGCCCGGGCGCCTCAAACGCTCTTGACTGACGAGGCACAAGTTGCGCCTGAAGCTTGAAGTCAGAACAAAACCAGACCTGACGATATGGTCTCAACCGAAACGACATGAGGATAAGTGAAGAGACTCTGTTCCGACCTCTGATTCTCATTGGCACATGGCGCTGACCGAGACTCAGCCGTTCCTCGTATAAGGCCTCCTGACCGAGGATCACTAAACTCTGAGCCCTTAAACCTTAGAGTCTCCAGGTCGATCGCCGGTAGCTTTAAAACATCTGCGCTCACATCAGCGAGCAGTCCTGGCTCAAAGGCATGTCCCAAGTCTGAGAAAAGCAATAATACAAGCAATAGTCATTACTACATGTCACACGATTTCCGTTCAGAATTGGTGCTTTTTATTGTTCGGGTGCAGAACGCATACCGGAAATATGATCATTCGTAGTGGTACCGTGGTTTGTTGCTATGGCTACCCTTACTGTTTTTGTGCGTGTCCTATCATCTTGGTGTTATTTTGTGTGCTGTTCTTCTTATTCATACTAGCCTTACATTCGCAACATGTGTTGCCGTATGCATGAAACTCACTGTGTTGAGGGAGTAATACGCGTTCGGCGGATGAGTCGAAACATGGCTTCTGCCTCTCACAAAGAAGACCCAAGCAAGGTTTGCTTGTTGTACCCAATCACAGGCTGCCATCGTGGAACAGTAGCGCATCCCTTTCCGTTTGATTGCCACTCCACTCCACAAACAGGCAAACGAAAAGCTTTGCACAACTCACCTCGCTGGCTCCAAGACATGTCCCAAGTCAGACAAAAGCAATGCAAGTGATAGAAGGTTCCAGGGCCCTGGCTCTGCGGCCAGCCGCTTCAGTCTGCAGCAACAACCGCACCCACCGTGTACAAAGCTGCTGATGCAGAACCCTTGAAAAAAGCTGGAACAGAGACCAAGACAGAGATACCGATGAAGAAGATGACTCCAAGACTCCAAGATGGCGACGACGAAGACTACGAGGATGAAGACTGCAATGGCGACAATGATAACCACGACAGATGACCAGTGAGAGAAGCTGGAACAGAGACTGAGACAGAGATACCGATGAAGAAGATGACTCCAAGACTCTAAGATGGCGACGACGAAGACTACGACGATGAAGACTACAATGGCGACGATGATAACCACGACAGATGACCGGTGTGAGAAGCTGGAACAGAGACCGAGACAGAGATACCGATGAAGAAGATGACTCTAAGACTCTAAGATGGCGACGACGAAGACCACGAGGATGAAGACTACAATGGCGACAATGATAACCACGACAGATGACCGTAATCTCATGTCACAATCCTGACCCAGGCTGACCGCTGTACTCGTTTTTGCTTAAAGCCTTAAAGCGTTCAACGGGAGACGTGAACGATTGGTCATAAGGAAACATTCCCAAAGTCCCCGAAAGGCGTTCGCTCAACTTGCCTTGACCACCGAGCAAACGTCCATGGCAGAGTCCTGAGGGTTTACAAGCTCTCAATGCCAGGGAGGCCTTGCCTTTTGCGGGACATGGTGACACTCCATCGCCAATCGAGACACCATTTTGGCTTAGAGGCCAGCAATGCCAAACAGTCAGAAGATGTCATCAGGCATAAGGCTTAAGGCTATGAAAGCTACAAGGATATCATGACTGATAGACACGAGATGGTAAAGGGGATTCCAGGAACCCTCGCCCTGCTACTGACGAGGTGCATCTGGGGAGCGTGGTGACTCAAGCCGAAGTTTCTTCTACATCTCGACACGCTTGCGGGAAGACGAATCTAGGAACTTGGGCCTTGCAGAACATTCCGCGAAATGGTTGAGGGTCCTTCAATTTCCCCTCTGCGCGCGAGCCTCAAACCCCAACACTCCCATCACGCAAACTCCAAAGCTCTCAGCCCCATTCCAAGTCAGCCCAAGTCAGATGCTCAGATGCCTAAATGCAAAACCCTGCCTGTTGTGTGGCAACGGATGAGGGGAATGGCCGGCTGCCGCCCTGGAACTACGCTGCTGTGCTCGGATCTTTGGGGTGACTCAGGGGACCGAATTGCGGGTTTTAGGAGCCCGAGGGTTCGAACCGTTGACCTCATCGCCACGCAGCCCTTTCTCAACCCTGGCTTGACGGTGCCTCAGTGGCTTCGCACCGTAGAACCTGGTGTGGGAAGAGGGTGCTTGGAGTTTCAAGGCCAGTTTCAGGCCCTGAGGGCAGGCAGAGCCTCAGCGAATCCAAGGCTAGGGACTTCTGCACGAGACGCAAGCGCCGTTGCAAAGCGATGTATCACCAGCTTTCTGCAAAATGCCGGCGATTGAGGACCCTGCCCGGCAGGGGTCGACTCTTGTCTTCGCCGAAACCGCCGCTCGCGCAGATAGCCTGAAGCCCAACAGTTTCAAGCTTGGGATGTGGAGTTCTGGGTCTATTCGGGTCCCCCGAAATCCACTCAAAACCCAAAGCCCCGAGGCTTGAAAAATGTAACGGTGCGGTGAGCGAATACCGGATTTAGGGTACTTGTGTCCCTGTCAAATCCCTCAATCTGTTGAGCTTGAAAGCCCCTCCCTCCCTTGTTCGAGAGCTCTAAGCAAGTAGTCTGCTGAGGCTCAGTTCCGCTCCCCTCGTACAAATACGCCTCGCTGTCTTTGCCCTAACACCCCGCAACCACAATCCGACAGTCAATGCAGCCTTGTGGGAATTCCGGGCTTAGGGTTTGGGGCTTTGTTCGTGCCTGAGCTTTGGAGTTCAGCTAGGACGCTGCTCTGTGTGGTTCCATGGGGCTTGATCATGGCTGGATAAGGATCCTAGAATGGTTTCGTGTGCAAGTGCCTCATCATCGTTCTAACATGTTTTGGAGGCTTACGGGGCTTTTGTACTCGTAGCTCCTTGGCCTGCTGCCATTTTTGACAAAGAATGGTACGGTTTGGAAGGGTTCAAGGTGGGTCTGCTTCATGCTTTGCAGCCGATGTTAGAGGGTCGATGGGATCCCGAGGGCTGTGCATCTTGGTTCAGGGTTAAGGATTTGGGGTCTGGGGGTTTAGGATCTTATCTCTTCATACATACGTGCACGATGCTGAATATGCTAGACGCATAACTGTCTAGTGAGACTTCATGCGTGGGGGATTGATCTCGATTTGGTTGCTGCTCTCCCCACCAGAGCTGTAATGAATGTAGGTGTGGCTGGCTAGCACTCTCCACAGACTGGACCCTGTCTCTCCCTCTTACTTCCACACGTGCGATCCTATGCAGGCAGAACCGGCGGCCGTTCCTTTTGCACTCACTGCCGGCGGCGGTTCGTCTGTGCAACGGGATAGCTCTGATTGCTCAGGATAGAAGACACATATAGCACTTAGCTATGGGCATTGACTTGAGCCAAACGTTGCGTTGGCGGTCACATAGAAAGGTAAAGACGAGGGATGCGTAGCATGCCCCCTAGAGTCGAGGGACGCGTAGCGTGCCCCCTTCTCCTGCACTTTACACGGTCTTGCTCACAGCTCTTATAGTGACACCTTAGAACTTGACAAGGCATCGCAGTCCGTTCGCACCCCCCATGAGTTGCGTCTCCGACGCTGCTCACCCGGAAGATGGCACGATAGGACAACAGAAAATGTTCCGCCGCAACGTTGACATTGAAAATCAGAGCTTTGCATCCCAATTAGAAACGTTGTGACACTCATCTACGTCAGTAACGATCCCCTGAAATGACAAACGAATCAGGCGTCACCGAAGAAAGAAGCATTCGCGATGGCATTCCATGGGCGAAGCTCAGAGGTCACGAACTGATAGGCGAGGAAGATCAGGCGTTGTCTCGCCACCATCTTCGCGTTGACGTAGGATCGCGTTCCCAGGGCCGGAGGTTCTCCTCTGGATACTGGTTCCTCTGCTTTCCTTTGTCCTTGCCTTTGTTTCGGCCTTTGCCGGCGATGTAGTCGTGGTAGGAATTGGTGTTCCAGCCACCATGTTGCTCACCTCCGGTCCTTCCACGCCCTTTTGAAGGTCCCTTGGACGAAGAAGCGCTTTCACGTTCTTCCGTAGTGACAGGCGTGTCCAGGATGGATGTACCACCTGGAGGAAGATAGTCAGCGGCCGAAATGTGGTGTAGGGCTTCAGTACGCTTGGTCGTCGGGTTTTGCTGTCTCTCAGCCTTGGATCTGTTCAATCTGTCCATGAAATGCGCAGGCATTTGCACACTGTGGTCCACCAGCAAGCCGATGGTCTGGACTGACTGATCAGAATGAGTCAGCAGAATACCGACGGGGTCGATGTACAAGAAGTCCACTGGTCCAGTTGGCGTTGGTCGTAGCACTGAGAATTGTTGGTGTCCCGTCACCATTGGAATCACCTCGCACAGGACGTTCAGGCAACAAAAGTGCATAGCCTTTACATCTTCATCCCTTTCGCTCTTCAAGTAAGTAGTAGGGTTGAAGTTGTCCCTGCCAATTCCCATCATGTTGGCTCCCCGTGTAAGTAAAGAAAGCATCTGGTTCGTCCGGAAGCGCTTCAAGGTGTAAGTCCCGTTGGGATCATACTGTTTGAGGTTCTCAGGTTCCTTGGCAAAGCGAATGATCTCCTCATCAGTCACATCCTTGCTCACACCCGTTTCCCTATCCACTGCCGCCAAAGATCCCCACTTTCCAAGCACATCATAGCGTTGGCCAAGTGCGAAACTTTCCCTCATCTGAAACAACGGCATAGTCGCCCACTTTGCGAATCCTGACCAAGCCTTGTAGATGGATCTGCATACCACGTATGCCATGTACGAAAGAGCGGTCATGTTCGCGTCAATGCAATGGGCATTTCGCTTTCCAGAATAGTAAGATGGCTGCATGGCGGTACGTGCAAGTTGTAGCTCAGGATCGATGTTCAAAGACTGGCCGGTAACGAAGACGGGACGACGTTCCTGTGCGATTGCTTCTGGAACTGCGTCATCAAAGTCCTCTCCAGGCTCGATGTCCATTTCTTCATCAGGTTCCTGTTCTGGATCGTCTTCCGCGATGACAGATGGCTCTGGGATTTCTTCAGGTTCCGCAACGGTTTCTACCTCCATGGCTTCCTGCTCCTCTTCGGGCGCCTCAGGCACTGCGGCTGCTGCGGCTTCCATTGTCTGAGCAATGAAGTCACTGGGGATCTCCGTAGGAGTCTCCCGTTGTGGAGAACCTTGGTAATATCCGCTCGAAATGAACTGTGACCAGCAAGACGTGCATCGGGAGAAACATGCTGGAACGATGTTGTAGCATGCCGGGCATACCCTCATTCTCCGTCCATCCTCGTCTCTGCGTAGGTCTTCGGGTCGCCAATTCTTGATGACAAACTTGATTCCTTTGTCCATGTAGTGATGCCGAACCGTGTTCTCCCTGTGGGACTCCAGGACAGTCGTGAGGTCTCGAATGATCTGCTCCTTGCTTGTGTCGTGGGGTCCAGGAGGCATCTCGCAAAGCAATTCCATGATCTTGCTTGGCGTTCGGTATCTCTCGAACTCAGGAAGCAACGGTGATGCATTGTAGTCCAACACCAGCTCTTTCTCCAACCGTTCATCGTAGATCTTTTCCACCAGAGCGAAAGAGTGTGTATCTCGAGGATCAGGGACGCAAAACCATACCTCCTTGACGAAATGGAAAGGTATCGTTCGGCCAACGATCATGATGCCGCTGTCTGTGATACGTCCATCCTCTCGTGCAAGGTCCTGCGATGGGACATGAAGGACCGCCAATGGCATGTGCTTGGCGTCTCGTCCATGTACTCGCATCTTGGTCGTTGCGTTCCGGTGATCAAACGGCGCAAACAGCCCCCAATAGCTGTGGAGTCTGCCACCTTGGTTGCCTCGGAATTGGCGCCTATGGTCGAAGTCCCCGTCGGGGTCCTCCGAACCAGGCATGATGCCTTGCGTGACAATGGAATCCAAGTTGCGGCATGCCGTAGCGTGGAACGCACCTCCAAGACGTTGCAAGAGGGTCATAGATGGAGATATTGCGAACCTGTTCTTGTCCAACTGAAGCAAGTTGTTCTGGGGATCTGAGTGCGCAGAGTGACCACTCGTAGCCCGAACTGCCCATGGCTTCACCCAGCCGTTGCATATGTTCAGGTACCTCTGGCCATGCCGGCAATGATCGTTGTTCTGGATCTCCGTGATCTGGTCCTGAACCGATACCAACCTGTTCGAACCTGCTGATCCAAGAACTTCCGTGCCGGGGTCCTTCACTCTCACACCCAGGAACTGCAACCGAATCTTGGCCTTGTTGCGTTTCGTGGCTGCAATCATGTTCCCTTGGAACAATAGCTGAAGTCTTTCATTGTACACTCTCTTCTTCTGTTGATCATCGGTCCTTGAGACCCCTTCGGTGATGCGTCTGCTTTCATGGGTCCATAGTGGCTCATGCCTCACCAAGTCTTCGATCATCACCCATCCTCCTTCATCACATTTGATGACACTGTTGAATGCCACCTGGCACCTGTTGTCAAGCCATTCCGAGCCTGGGCGCCTGGCGATTCTGTGGCGCAAGTCAGATTGGATGCATGATAGCGCCCAATCCGCGTTCAGTCTGCGCTGACGGGTGATGTTGCGAAGGACAACTTCGTTCACGAGGTCCCACCGATTGTTGATGAAGCTTGCACCCTTGGTTGGGATCAGGTCGAGAATCCCGCATCGAATTGGCCTTCCGCCGCCGATGGATTCATAGCCTGCGTTGGTGTAGCTATGAGTGCTCTCATCGTAAGCAAAGCTAGGACGGTCTCCTCGTTGAGGTAGGCGTCGGTCGCGATGGTCCGAAAGCTGCTCAATGATGTCCACCACTCGCTGGCTATTCTCTGGTCCCGATTCCTGCAGTGGTACGCCACAAGCATCATGTAGGCCCCGACGGTTCTCCACATCCGTGCAGAGATTGTGTTTGTTCTCATAACGGATCAAGACCACATCACCCCGTACGGCTTCGCCTCCGCGTCGCGGTCGGGCTTTGGCCTTGGGTCGTCGGTCCGAGGATGCAACACTCACATGATCTGTGGTGTCAACGTCCATTGGCTCAGCCTCTTGTGTAGGTACTCGACGTGGATATCGAAGAAGACTTTCTTTGATAATCTGGACGCCTCGAAGTACCAGGTCCCGGGTTGCAGCATTTTCTGTGCAATTGGACAGAGTGTGTAGATCACTGCCACAAGCGACACAGAACGTGATGCGGTCGCTTCCGACTGACATTTCGCCCTGAGCGAGTACGCCCACATAGTCCTGAAGCTGCGCGACAAATCCTTCACGAATTGCATGCCTGGGATCAGGGCCTTCTGCACCTTGTTCTTCTTCGGGTTGCGCATCCACATCTACATCCTGTGCAGGTATTGGTGGAGCAACTGAGAACCCTGGATCGTCCGTGACGTTGTCAGCGGCCTGTGTC